GAAGAAAACTAAGCTCGTTGGTGGAAAAATGTGCAGGTAAGTATGGGACATGAATAAATATTAAAAAGTCAGAAAAGCACAGACTGATGGAAGTTAAGAAAGCAGCTCCAAAGGGAAAAAAAAAAAAAACACAAAAGAGAAAGCTATACAATAGATAGCACACAAACTGTCGTGAAACGATTAGCCATAGAGAACAGCTTCATATAAATTAGAATATGTAAGATTACGATCACTCAATGATTTATGCGACCAAGTTCAAAAGGTACAAATCTGTTCCCGTGGAAACAGATTCTACTGTTTGGGACCAAACAGTAAGTTGCACATTTACATAAATCATAGACCGGGTCAAATGACCAACACAACTGAATCTGACTGCATTTATTCTATGATCTTCATGAAAGTAAAAACAAAAACTTAGAAACAGTTACAATATCGTGCCTTTTCAACTACAGTTTGGTTCAAATCTGTAGCTGAACCAACTACAGATTGGTTCAATCTGTAGTTGAACCAATCTGTATATCAAAAAGAACATTTTATTCAATGTCCCGGTAACGTCTGTATAAAGCCGTCTCGGCGAAGCACCGTTTTCCCAAGCAGACAATTTTTCTCCCATGTTTATATCACTGAAGGGGAAAAAAAGGAGCGGCAATCAAAATATTTGTGACTTTCTATTTGAAGTTTGGAACAGATCATTTTCATTCTTCAAAATGATGCCGACAGATTTCATCTTAACCAAAACACAGCGCCAATGCTTCACATATCCATTGACGACTGCTCAAATCGAAGTCATTCTGCAGTGAGAAAGCAACAAATTGCTTGCTTTCACCATGTGCTTCCAATTCATCTAGCTGCTGTATTTGGTGTTCACAGCAGAAAAATCTGTTTTAGTTTTCCCCACGCTGAGGTACAATTTGGTGTCTCGGTGTCTTTTGGTATCATGCCATTTCCAGTGGCTGGGAAATATGTTTATTTATTCATTTATTTTTTTAAACAAAAGTCAGTATGGAACACTGAATTAGTCTAGATCCTCAAATAACTAATTAGTGAGCGAACCCATGTTAAGAATTTGCCAGTTTCTTTTGTGGGAGAAATTCTTTTAATGTAACATGATTTTTCCGGTGAGGTTTTAATATATATATATATAGTTATTTAAAATCTCACATGCAGGAGTTTATCCAATTTCAAAAAAGTCAAAGAGTATATTAATCTGACTTCTATTTAACAAACTTTTTAAAAAAAACATTGATTTATTTCTATTGGGAAGTTATTTTCACAGAAGCCAAAGATTATTTACATAAGAAATTGTGAAACCAATCTCTGGTTAGAGAGGACCCCTATTCAGACACTCTAATAAACCCCTTTAACCTAATGTCACAATCCAGACAGCCTTAGTTGATTTATTCTCTAATTTTGAAAGGGTTTATAAAACACCAAATCAAGACTTCTATTCTGCTGCCCTTTTTTAACAAATTCATGCAGCAAGCCTAAACTGCAACCCGATCTCCAACCCTAATATTTTAATTGAATCCAAATATAACTGAAACTGATAACTCAAAGTAGAACCATCATACTCACCCAGAAGTGCTACAAGCCAAAACATTTTTCCATTTACAGTTTGTTCATATAAAATTGGTCGTAGAGCTCCATGTTCGCTCTACACACCCCGACTCGGGCATCGACTCCAAGATAAGTGAAGAAGCAACAATTTTTGTTACCATATCAAAAACCAAAAGTGTTCACTACTGAAGAAATTTGAAGAGTCGCCATCTGTCATGTTGCCCACTTATCACAAGTTAAAATATTTCTTCTGTAAAATTAACCAGAAAACTTCTAAATAAAATAAAATAAAATTAAATAAGAGCTGCATGCAGGGTTTCCTTCAGTTTATTATAAGCCTGGCGGGCCACCAGGCTTTACTTATGCCCCCTCCAGGTTAAGTATTGCTTATTTATTTAATTTGTTTTAAATGGTGGTATTTTTTTTAAGTCTCTTTTCAAGTTCGCCGTCTACTTTAAACATTTTTTAACTCAAAATCATGGCGGGCTGCTTGATTAATGACTGCCAGTGCGCCACAACCACCAGGCTTAGCAAGTTTTCTGGGGGAAACCTTGTGCGCGTTACATCTTAATTGGCATATTACACCCTACAAAGACCTTTTTGGAGTTAATTCATTCAGTAGCATGAAGTCCAAGCTGAAGCCACTTCAAGTAACAAGGCAATGGGACAGCATCAGAGGAGAAACATTTCCTGCAGCTAGCAAACTTAAGCATAATGGGTCAGGCTGGATCAGCCCAGGAAAACAATGCAGCTAAACAAAAGATACAGGAACAGACAAAACAAAACAGAAAAATATCAGGCAGAGCACAAATGGGGTACTTCAAAACAAAACGCAATGTTTGGATGATGGCATTATTGTGAAAAGGAACATGACGTCTTAGATCACAAAACAATCTAGCTGAGAGAATGCTTTAATGTTCTGTGCATAATTTGAAGAGACTGTTAAATACAAAAGCAACATGTGAGGTATTTCAAGAGTTGCCATAAACAAAGCTAAGCTAGTCTGTATAATAACCCCCCAAAAATCTGAACCCCCATCCACCAGTCCAAGATCTGTAAAAAAAAAAGAAAAAGGGGGGAAAAAAACGGTTTACATTGGTATTTCCTGGAATGTGGAAGGGCCGAACAGGACACACACATAGCCTAAAACGAGCACACAAACTGCAAACACAGTCAAACATTGGTGCACAGACGTATTCTCAAAGTGACCACAAAGTAACTCAGGTTAACTCTACTGCTGCCACAGCAGCATTTTTGTAATGCTCACAAGGTGCAGGTTAAACCAGTAAATGGCACAACTTTGCTCATGTTTGCATATTACAGAAGGGCTGTTTTTCCTGAGAAATGAGACAGCAGAAGACTGTCTGAGCCGTGCTGCAGCCAAAAACCACCGTGTCCAACATTACCAGAAGCAGACTACCTTTGCTCTCTGCCATCATGTATCCTGTTTGCAATCAAAAGGTTTTCTAAATTCTAAAACAGAGTAACAGAGAGCATAATCTGAGTAACCAAAACCAGTTCTAAAGGAACTTCTGAGAAGAACAAACAGGCCAAGTATGAGACATTAGTCTCAGATATGGTGTCTGCTTGTTTGCCTAGATCCATCACACAGACCGACACAATGTGACATCTCAGAAAGCCCCCAGCCTGTTCTGGTTTAAGCTGGTCGAATGCCACATTTAGAGCCGCAAAAACAAAGATGAGCTACCTAATTTGTCACATAAGCAAAAGACAACCGTAGCCTCATTTCCTCAAACAAGTGAGGTCTTGTTGGGATGGCAATAAAGAAGCAACGGCATACAAACCTGAGCCAGGTCTTTTTACACCCCCATTCAATGAGCTCATCATTTAGCACTTTTGCCAAAGATACTCATCAGGAATGTCAAGTAGGCAAAGGCCAGTTGCCAGCATTGAGGTATACTGAGATTTTGAAAAATAAATAAATAAAAAAAAATATATATATATATATATATATATTCAAAATTTTATGTCATCCAATCTCCGTAGCTTTTAGTCTTTGCAATTAAAGAGCACAAAAAAAAGTGATTAAAGTTATGGACCAAAGTGTAATGTATTGCTTCTCCATTCCTCACCAAGTGCTGTGCACTGCTGGTCTGCTGGCTGAAAATACACCACCTCACTCTTTATTTGCTTCCAAGAAGGATGAGGCACCAGTCATTTAATCACATCAACATCTTGTACTTTTACGGCTTGTTGCTGCTGCATTGGAAACATTTTTGTTCGGTTGTTGTTGTTGTTTTTTTTTTTTTTGTCAGCATGTGGGACAGAGTTGGTTCAAAATGGTGACAAATACCTATCACCACATATCCTAAAAGAATATGTGGTGATGTGACTCCAACAGCTAAGAACTACCAGCAGAAGGTCACATGTGCTAATTTGCGCTTGATCAGGAGTTGTGATCTGGAATTCTTTATAAGAAATCAACTGGCCCATGAGAACATTAAACTATAAACTGACAAAAAATGGTTTGCCAACAGGTATGAAATGGAAGAAAGAAGGGACAAAATGGACGTGCACAGGCAAAGGCAGCGCCGAGTCTGTAAGAGCAGCTTGTCATGTAAGCAGCTGACTGTGGGCTGATCTGAGCTGATAGCTTGACTAGTTAACCAGCCAATAGTAATTTGTGTTACTCTGTAAAATGCAGAAAATCAAGCTAGTTTCTGAACAAAAATCCCAGACTAGGTAAAAAAAATAAATAAATTTAGCAAACTTTTATCATCTATTGTGTGAATACTATACAGCTTAAATATTCTTACTTAAGATTATCATACAGCGAGAATCCAAATAATGGCAACTCATCAGGCTCAGGGTTGAAAGGAACATAGCAAGAAGATGCAAAATATGGCTTATTTCCCACCATCAGTCAGTTAGCTAGTTTCCCCACTTCCTAAAGTTTGCACAAGTGTTTCAGAGCTGACGTTTTATACAGGAAGTTCGATTGTTATGAAACAGGTTTTGGTTTTATTCCCCCTTTTCTTAACACGTTCCTAAACATAGGCAATAAACAATAAATATATATATATATATATATATATATATATATATATATATATAAACTGCTTAAGATGGTTAAATATTCATTGTCGAATAAAAATATTCGATTAATTATGCTTCCTCCACAAGGATTTATAGGAAAAAAAAACAAATAAGTGACCTATGTACGTCTTAGAGCACACATGGGCTAGCTACTGTGAAAGGCTCGATCATATTACAATAAAGCGCTGCTGATTCTGGGTGGGTCAGAGGCAGAACAATAACAGCTGACCATCAGCAACCGCTCTCAGCTGGAGCACTGAAAGGGAAACGTTTATCTGCACATATTGCAAAGGCATACTTCACATTTTGAGTGCTTAGGTGCCAGTGTTTTTGTTAAAGAAAAGAAAAAAAAAAGAAAGAAAGAAAACAAATGCATGTAGACTTACCGAGCATCCCATTCATAAAACAGCTGGTGCTCCGCTCCTAGGCCCCCAGCAGATATAGAATAACGTGGGGTGTGAGTTCATCAAACTGAATGAGATGTGAGACGCTCAGACGAGCCCTTTGTACTCCAAGCAGCGCTTTTAGAAAGCCCAGTTCGGTCTTTATGATATTAGGTCAGTTCTACAGCAGCTGTCCCCGCATCCCCACAAACGATGCTTCTGCTCTGAGGCTCAGGAACTCACTACAATGCCTCCTGCTGTAAGCGTGAGTGCGTGGAACACGCCCTCTTTTTTTCCGCGTCTCCTTAAAGACGCAGGGTGCCGGCGGCCGGCGGCTGCTCTGATTGGCTCTAATCAGCTAGGGACGCAGGCTGCGTCATGTGAAATTACACGACACTAATGGAACAGGAGGGGGGAAATAACTCCTGTAGTAAAAACATTGATGAATGGTATTTTGCTTTAACTATCCATAAACATTATCTGCACGTATGTAGTTAAGTTTAACTTGTTTTTCCCCCTCTTACCAATGTATACTTACTTAAGCTGCCAACATCAAATTACAAACAAATAAATACATATAATTTTGTTATATTTGTATGTTTTATACTGTATTTTTATTTTTTATTTTTTGGTGATGTTTTAAAGACTTCAACCTCGTTGATAGTGTTAGTATTTTCTAGGTGGAAAAC